GCGGGGGGAGCGGGGCGGGGCGGGGGCGGGCCGCAGGAGCGCGGGGATGCGGGAGGTGGGCGGCGGGAACGCGGGACAGCGGGCTGGGGACGCGGGACGCGGTGCCGGGAACGTGAGAGACAAGGCTGGGGCCGCAGGACACGGAGTTGGGAATACGGGACAATGCTGGCGACATGGAACGCAGTCTAAGACGTGGGGTTGGGGATGCCGGATACAAGGCTGGGGACACGGGGCGCAGTCCCAGGGCTGTGGGGCAGAGGAGGGGACAGTGCTGGGGACACCCAGTGTAGGGCTGGGGGCGGCGGCAGGACCTGTGGGAGCTCATCACCGCAACCGGCCCCACCTGGGGGCTCAAGCCCTCCCTGCCCGGCCCCGGGGGCTGCATTTAGGCTTCGTGCTTAGGCTGGGCTCTTGCGGAGCCTGCTCTGGGCCGGGCACCGCGTACATTTCCTTCCAGAGCTCGGTGTTGGGTCGTCCCAGCCCTGCACAGCCCCGCGGAGGCCCAGCGTGACGAGCCCCTCGGGCTGGGCACCAGCAGCTCACCGTGCTCGGCCCGAGGTGACAGCGAGGACATCCTGCCCACAGGGACACGGGGCACCTTGACCGAGTGTCTGGCTACAAGGGCAGCTGACCCCAGAGGGAATCCAGAGCACAGGGACCGATGTGGTCACCCACGTCTGCTGGAGCCTCCGGCTTTTGGGGTAGATTTTCAGCAAGGGGAGAATGTAGAGGTGTGTTTTATCTCTTTGTTTTCCTCCTCCACAGGCATCTGCACAAAAAGCTCTGGCTGGACAGCGGGCGGGACAATACTCACAACCCTTATTTGGACTCGGCTCTGGGGAAGAGCTGCAGCTCCCCAGCAGCCAGGCTGGAATCACAAACCAGAAAAAGGGGAGGTTTGGATTGTCTGTAGCCATGAAACTGGACTTGGGGAGGAAATCCAGTTTGTTCCAGCAGCTATTGCACTGCTTCCTCGCCTTGAAACCCCCGGGCCCAACCCAAAGCCCCATGTCCCACCAAAATTGGGGGTCCTCTGTGGGAGTTGCTGATCCTCTCCCCTCTCCCCCTCTTTCCTACAGGAATTTCTGCCGCACCGATGTCCATCTGTGCTGGGACACAACGCTGGGCTGTGTCACACAGGGGTAGACGGGGAAGTTGTGAACAGCTCGGGACTCTGCTGGGAAGCGTGGCGAGTCCCGAGGCCCCAGCGGAACGAGCGGACAAGGTTCAGCTCCACTCTGGATCCTCCGGGAAGGAACCCGAGCGGGAGCAGCCTTCGGGGGAAGGGGCGGAGGGCCGGCGGAGCCTTCCCCACCCCGGGGCCCGGGTGGATGCGGGACCCTGAGGAGCGCGGGGTCACACCGCCCTCTGCTGTCGCGACGGGCGCGGTGGCACGGTGACACCGCTCGTGTGACCCAGGCACCGCTGAGCGGGTCCCTCAGACAGCGGAGCAGGAGACAATTTATTCCCGAAACAGAGCACGAACAAACAGAGGTAACGAGTGAGAGACAACAGACTCGAAGCAGGTCTGAGGTTCCCAGCGGATGATAAATAAATGATACGAACGAGGAAGGAATGGTTTGCTGGACTGAGGGACGTGGAGACCGGAGCGTGCAGTGCTTCCCAGGCCCAAGCCCTGGAAGCGTGAGGCGGCTGCTCAGCTCTTGACGGGCGTGGACGCGGCCTTCGTGGTCTTCTTCAGGTGGTGGTAGTTGGGCAGGATCTTCATCAGGAAATCCAGCTGCAGCGTCTGGGGCTGCAAGGGAGGGCAGGGAGGTGAGGGGGGCGCAGAGGCGGCAGCTGTCCCTGCCCCACACCCGCACACCCACCTGCGGGCGCTCGGTCTGCACGCGCCGCAGGCAGTCGGCGCCGTAGATGACGGAGTTCTCCGGGAGCACCTCGCACGTGCTCACGCTGCAGCAGGCCCCGATGATGCAGCCGCTCGTCAGGATCACGTTCCTGCCCACAAACGCTGCCGGGACAGGGAGGCAGAGGGGTCCCCGTCAGAGGCGAGCCCGCAGCGCCTGCAGCAGGGCCAAATCCCAGAATTACCTTTGGATTCGATGACGTTGTTGTCTCCCACCTTCATCGCTTGGGAATCTGCAGGTCTGCGTTAAGGGAAACTCAAAATGCTTTGCTTTTTTTCCAGCGGGTGAAAAACCCTGCCGCCGTTTTCAAACCAGCACCCAGCCCCGGGCTATGTGAACCCAAAGAGAGCCCCAGAGATGCCTCCCCCCGGAGAGATCCAGGAGCACAGCGCGCCGGGTGGTTTGTCACTGCACAGCGGGGATACAGCACCCAACCTCAAAAACATTGTTGGTGCCGATGACCATGGGCTTGGGCTCCACATCTTCGCTCTCCGGGGTGATGTTTTCCGGGTACCTGCAAGAAGATTTCCACGTTTGAGATCATGATGGCAGTGCTCCGTGTGGCAGCTCAACTTTGGGACCGACTGAAGCCACAGGTATCCCACCCAACTGAGCTGGACTGTCAGAACTGTGAGACTGATTGGGATCCTTGGGTTCTGTCAGCTTGAGAAGGACTCAGAAGGGGAATCCAGTATCCTACAAGGAGCCTGGAGAAGGACTCTGTCAGGAACTGGAGTGACAGAACAAAGAGTAATGGGCACAGACTTAAAGAGGGCAAAATGAGGTTAGGTATATGTAACAAAATCTTTACTGTGACGATACTGGAAGAGGTTGCCCAAGGCAATACTGGCTGCCCCAACCCTGGAAGTGTCCAAGGCCAGGTTGGACGGGCTTTGGAGCAACCTGGGACAGTGGAAGGTGTCCCTTCAAACACTTAACATTTGATAATTCTCTGATGCCGTGGCTCCCCCCAAGCCACAGTGCCACACGTGTACACAAAAGCACGAAATCCGGTGATTTTTTTTTTTAACAACCTCTGTCTCCCCGAGGTTCTAAAGCCCCCCCGGGTGCCGCACGGACCCGTTGATGATGAGCGCCTGCTCCTCGATCAGGTTCCCCTCTCCGATGACGATGGGCCCCGCCTCGGCGATGATGCGGGCCTTGGGATGGATCACGGTCCTGGGCCCTGCGGGGACAGCCCGCCGTCAGCCCGGGCCCGCAGCGGGCAGCGCCCGGCCGGGGACGGGCCCTTACCGATGGTCACGTCCCCGCGGATCTCGCTCTCCACGCACACCACGGCGCCCGGCGCGATCTTCACGCTGCGGGGAGCAAAGGGGCGGTCACGGGGGGTCCACCCACGGACCGGGGAGGGAGCGCCGGGAGGGATCGGGGCGTGAGGGGACTCACCTCTTCTGCGCCTTCTCCGCCATGGCCGCGGCCCCACCGCGCCTGCGCGGGGCGGGGCGGGGCGGGGCCGGAGCCGCGAGGGGCGGGGCTGCGGGAGCGGGACCGACAGAGGTGGGACCAGGGCGGGGCCACAGAGCGCGTGCGCGGCGCGGGGCCGACACAGGCTGCGGCTCCTCCCCTCACGGCCGGCCCCGCCCCGGCCCCGCTATCGGTACCGGGTCTGTGTGGGGCCCGCATCGGTACCGGTACCGGTATCGGGCGGGAGGAGCCGCTCCGGGCCGGGCGCTGGGCCGGCTGTGACGGCCCGGGACAGCGGCGGTGGCTCCCCGGTGCAGAGGCGGAACCGAGGGCCGGCCCCGTGTGCTCGGGGGGCGGCCCGGCCTGTGGGGGCTGCCCCCCACCCCCCGCCGTGGCATGAGCGCTTGGCAGGAAGAGTTCATCCAGGCCATTCCATGAGTCCCTAATTATTTATTTTCAGCTTTCACACACAAACCATCATGACCAGGACATGGTTCTCTCCTGGGTGGGCAGGATTTGGTCCCAAGCTGCAGCTCACCCCCGGGAGAACAAGCTGGGATCTTCCATAAAAACCTGTCTGTGTCCCAGGATGAGGTCTGAGAGGAACTTCTGGTCCCAAGGGGAGTGCAGGCTGCATGGAGGCTGGGCGGATTTGGGAGCCAGGGGTCCCAGTGCAGCAGCTGGATCTCCATCCCTCCCTCTGTGCTCCCCTCTCCTCAGCTGTCCAGGCAGGACAGCGAGGATCACTTCAGTGGCTCTTCTCCTTGGACCCTGGCAGATGATAAGGTGCTGAACTGTCATTTTTCTAGGGACAAAGGGAAAGCTGCTCTGTAGGGAGACCCCGCAGAGCTCCACAACACTCCCAGCAGAAACCTGGGATGGGGCAGAGGCAGGAACGAAACCTGAGGTGCAGCCTGGAGCGGAGCTTCCGAGGACAACAGCCGGCTTTTCCCAGCAGCACCAGCGGGTTTGGTGTGCTGACATCCCAAAAAAAAGCAGGATCAGACACTGTCCCCAGCACACAGGGCTTGCCACTCACCGAGAGCTTCTTCTCCTCCTGTTGCTCGTGTTGCTCCCGGCATCCTTCACAGATCCCGAGGTTTCACCCATCCCTGTTTTCCCAAGTTAATGATTCAGACTGGCTGGATCCCCGGGGGGCTGGCAGCCAGGCCCCAGCTGGCAGGCCAAGGATGCTTGCCCTCTGGGGTTAATCATTCTCTCGGCCGCTGCCCCTGCCTCCATAAAAACTCGGGGATGGGATTCCCGGTGCCGATTCCCGGCAGGAGGAGGAGAGCCGGCTCCAGCATGAGGGCAGCTCTGGCGCTGCTGCCTCTCCTGGCCGCTGCACAGGCGCTACACCGAGGTAAGGGAGGTGATCCCGGGGCCTTGCTGGCCCTGGCATGAGGGGCACGGGGCAGTTCCAGTGGTTTTCCATGGCCTGCCCTCTCCCAAACCGCTGGGCATGACCAGGGAGGGAAGGGAAGGGGCGGCAGGAGGGTTTGGGGTGCAGGATGCCTCTTTGGGGTGACGCTGGAGGAGGTGAGAGGGGGAGAGGGCAGAGCTGCAGGGATGGGCTCCATCCCTTTCCAGAGGAAAATGGGATTTCCTGACTCCCTGTGCAAAACTCACCCCTTGGTGGAAACCGTGCTCTGCCGCCCTCGGCTGCCTCCTCAGCTCCACAGGGAATCCCCACCTGCCAAAAAACACCAGAACTCACCTCTCCCACACGGCTTTGTACAAGTGAACAGCAATGCCACGGGTTGGGACCGGGAGCCGGCGTTCCTGCCGGGAAAGAAACGTGCCTGCTCCACGGTTTCCCCTTTTGGGGCAGCCCCTCCATTCCCAGCGGGGCAAGGTGACCCTCCGAGTCCTGGTTTTGGGGAGGTGACCCTGCCCCTCGCTGCAATCCCAGCCAGGAGCCGTGTTTACCCTGCTGGTGCCAAAGTCTGGCCCCCCACGGATCGATCGCGCTTTTCCTGGGATGGCAGCGCTGCCGGGAATGTTTTCACTCCTGGCTGCTCCCTGGACCTGGCCCCACATGGTTTCCCAGCCCTTATGGTTTCCAGGCCCTGCCAAAAAACCCAACCCCACATATTCCATCCTCCAAAACTGCCGTGTGATTTACCTGTAGCTCTCCCAGCTCCAGGAAGGGTTTTGTCCCTGCTCCTTTCCCTGGCTGTGGGGCTGGAGCAGCAGCCTGGACACCAGGGATGCTTCTCCCAGGCCGGCTGTGCCAATATCTCCCCAGGGACCACCAAATCCTCCTTGGGAAAAGAAGCAGTGGAGTGAAAAAAATGAACAAAGCCCAAGTGAATAAAGCAGCGTGTCCTGTGGTGGCAGAGTGTTCCTTGTTCCCTACTCACAATTCCTCCTTCTCCTGCACTTTCAGGGAAAGCTTATGTCCGGGAGAAAGTCTGCCAGGAGTACAAGATCCTGGGAAAGGAGAACTTCAGAACCATGTAGGTACCTCCTGCTGCTGGACACCTGAGCCAAGAGCATAGTAAATAAAAACCTCGGAAAAGGGCAGATGGATCCAATCCATCAGAAAGGGGAGACCCAATTCAACCCCTGGGCTCTGATTGCTTTTAGCAGGAGAAAAGTTGGATCCCTTATTGAATTCCTCAGAGCCAATTAAGTACCTAAATGATTAAGAATTCTCACAGAGCTGACACACAGTGCCCCGTAAGTGGCAGCCCCCAGCCTGGAAGCTGTTCCAGTTCTTTCCTGGCTGTTTTCCAGGGAATATGCTGTAATTTCTCTCTGCACCGCAGCCGGCACTGTTAAACCCATTTGTGCAGAACAGTCCCGTGCGGTGATTTCTGATGGGAGGGAGATAAAGGCTCACCTGGCTCTCCCTGTCCCTGCTGCCAGGACCATGGTTGCCAACAGCCGCAAATATTCCAACGGCACCTTCGAGGAGATCGGCAGCCTCGTGCGGGAGATCGTCTCCCTGGCCGAGACCTGCTGCGCCGACGGGGCTGACCCCTCCTGCTACGACGCCGGGGTGAGCCTGCCCAAAGAGGGCCGACGGACCCCAAAAACGAAGGGGTAGCGGGCAAAGGGAAGGGGCGGCCATAACCCGCTGTCCCCCCCGCAGTCCACGGCGCTGTCGGTGAAGTCGTGCAGCGCGGGCTCGCCCTTCCCGGCGCATCCCGGCACGGCGGAGTGCTGCGCGCAGCAGGGCCTGGAGCGCAAGCTGTGCCTGGCGGCGCTGCGGCACCCGGCCCCGCCCGGGCTGCCCCGCTTCCTGCAGCCCTCCGACAGGGAGCTCTGCCGCGCCTTCCGCCAGGACCCCCGCGAGTTCGCCGACAGGTGAGGCGGCGCCGGGAGAGCGCTCGGGACGCCCTGGTGCCGGGGCGCTGGGTGTCCCTATCCCGTCTCTGCCGCAGGTTTCTCTATGAGTACTCCAGCAGCTACAGCCAGGCTCCCCTGCCCGTGCTCCTGGCCTCCACCACCTCCTTCCTCTCCATGGTCTCCACCTGCTGCATCTCCCCTGCGCCCACTGCCTGCTTCCTGAAGGAGGTGAGAGCCTCTGGAGCCCCCGTCCTCACTCCCCCACTCCTCACCGTGCTCATTCCTGTTCTCTTTTTGTGGCAGAAACTGGAGAGGAAAACCCTCTCCCTACTCACCCTGACGTCAAACCGGATTTGCTCCCGCTTCTCGGCCTATGGCAAGGACAAAGTCAGCTTCAGGTACAGGGGGAAATGGCCTCTCCAGCCTGGAGCAGGGGCAGGGCTGCTCTCTCCTGCTGCAGACCCTGTTGGCGGGCAGCATTCAGGAATACAAGCTTTGATTCTGGTGCACAGCACGGGAGCAGAGCAAGCCCTGCCCTCCCATGCCCTCCCTCCCTCCGGCTCAGAGCTGTTTCCTGGGAAGCTGCTGGGTGTTCCCAGCTGCCAGCCCCACACACCCTGTGCTCCCCAGCTACCTGGCCTCGCTGGCCCAGAAGGTTCCCACTGCTCCCTTCGAGGACCTTCTGCCCCTGGCCGAGGGCGCTGCCGAGGTCTCCTACCAGTGCTGTGACTCCCTGGCCGAGGACTGCATGCAGAAGAAGGTAAGGAGGGCTGGAGCCCAGCCCGGAGCAGCTCCCGAGTGCCAGCAGGAGCTCGGGGAGCCGGGGGCACCTGCCCAGGCCCTGCTCCCTCCCTGCAGCTCCTGGAGCACACGGCCAAAGTCTGCGCGGCGCTGTCGGCCCGCGACGCGCGCTTCGCCGCCTGCTGCAAGGGGAAAAACCTGATGGAAAACCATTTCTGCATCCTGGCCATGCTCCCAGCGCCGGCTCCCGAGCTGCCAGCGCCGCCCGAGCCCACCAACAAGGAGCTGTGTGCCAAGGACGGGGCTCTCCATGCCACCAGGTGAGTGGGCAGTCATGGAATAAAACCATTTGAGTGGGAAAAGATCCCTAAAATTATCGAGTCCAACCAGTTCCTGACCCTGTTACACACTTAGCTTTTTGTGGGGATAACCGGGGCAGCATCCTCAGTTCCCCCAGGGGAATTGTGCCGGCAGGCAGCCCCAGGGGCTGCACGGAGGTGCCAGTGAAACTCACCGGAGCTCTCGTTTGCCGCTCCAGGTTCCTGTTTGAGCTGGCCCGCAGGCACCCCAGCCTCCCCGACGCCGTCCTCGCCAAGCTCTACGACTCCTCTGGGAAACTCCGCGGGGAATGCTGCTCCTCCAGTGACCCCTCCGCCTGCTGGGACAGCAAGGTGAGGGGGCTCTGGGGCTCATCCTGCTGCCCCTCATCCCAGCGCCCCCCAGATCCCAGCCCGGTGACTCCCCCTCTGCCCCCAGCGCAAGCGGATAGGAGCGGAGCTGCTGCCCTTCCTGGAAAAGGCCAACCTGCTCTGCGGGCAGCACAACCAGCTGCCTTTCCTCGACTTCAAGAAGAGGTGAGCTTTCCCTTCCCCCCACAAAAACCCATCCGGATGGCGGGACGCGATCGCAATTGCTCCGTGAGGCCGGGGGTGCCGAACGGGGCTGTGCCCACGCGTGTCTCCGCCGCGCCCCGGAGCGCGGCTCCCGTGTGACCGCGCTCCCCACGCCGCAGGCTGCGCGACAGCCTGGCGCAGGCCGAGCCCCAGCCCGGCCCGGAGCAGCTGGAGCAGCTCCTGGAGCAGCGAGCATCCTTCGCCTCCACCTGCTGCCTGCCGGGCGCTCCGCCGCTGCTCTGCGCTTCCAAGGTACGGCCGCGGCCCCTCCCGCCCCCCGGGCCGCCGGGGCCCGCTCCGCGCTGCCCCTCGGCTCTTCCCTCCTTCCCAGGTGAGCTCGGAGCTGGGGGAGCTGTGCCAGAAGGGCTCCTGCCTGCTGGGATAGCGGGGATCGCTCCTCCAAGGATGGCGCACGGACGGAGGGGGAGCCCGAGCTGCGGGAACGCGCAGGAACGGCACGGGGGACATCGGGAGGGAGCAGCGGGGAGCTGGGCTGGAGGAGGTCCGGCAGACGGGAGGGGTCCCCGAGCCCGCACCTTGTATTCCTGCAGCCAAAATAAAGAGAAGCAAAGCGCCCTGCAGGGAGCGCTTTGTGCGCCCTCGGGGCGGCGCGGAGGGTGGGACAGGGACACAGCTTCTCCTCCGCGGGCAGGAAGGGGTCCCAGCCCTGCCCCTGGCAGATAAAGCTCTGAAATCTAAGCGAAACCAGGGAAAAGACTCATCAAACGTCCCCAAGGACAGCAGCCCGTGGGTGTTGGGGCATTCAGCTGCCTGGAAGCAGCAGCAGCCTGAGAAGGACACCCCCAGCTCCCCACATGCCCAGGCGAGCACGGCTGGGAATTTGGGGGTGCTGCAGGCCACCAAGCCCCGGGATGCAGGAGGATGGCAAAGCCAGCCCAGGAAACAGCAGGAAAATCCCCAGAGCCCAGACGTGGGAGCTTTGTATACCACAAACACGGCAAGGGAAGCGCCCGAGGACACCTGGGTGCACAGAGATGAACCAGAGCGATAAAACAGAGCCAAACCCAAGCAGAACTCCCTGTTCAAGGCAGCTCGTGCCTTCCCCGGGAGCACTGGCAGCCCCTGGGTCACTGCCGAGTTCCCCTGGAGTGTGAGGAACAAGGTGGATTGGGCTGGCGCCATCCCTGTCCTCCTCCTGCCAGAGCCCCTCTTATTGTGGGGTACAGAGCTGGGCACAAAGGGGAAACTGGGGTTTTTTTTGTTTGCTTTTTGCCCCAGGGACCCCACTGACCTGGGGCTGGACGTGCTGGTGCCAAGGCATGGATCCTCCTGTCACGGCCTGCCTTTGGCATCTGTTTTCCAAAATATTGATTTCCAATTATTTCTAATGCTTTCCAATCAGTAAGTTGGGTTTCACCTTGTTCTGTTGGGATGAGTGACCCACATCTCATTCCTGTGCTCAGGTTTGCATCCTTCACATTCCAGATTGCAGGGTAAGGGCTGATAATTCCAGTGACCTGGAATTCCAAGGAAAACTGGGGAAATGCCACTAAGCCAGCCAAAGCCATCTCTGCCAGGTGACACCATCACTGTTTATGGGGGTAAAGCCACCCAAAAATACCCAACTGCTGTTCAAAGCAACACAAATCATAATCCTCCTACTAAAACGACCAGATTTCCTTGGAAAATCAGGCTGCCCCTGCCTGATTTCCTGCCAGCATCACCTCCCCAGGGATTCCATCCACTCCTTGCCATAAATCAGTTGGCTTTCCCACTCTCTGTTTTACCTGGGACTTTAATTTGGTTTTTTATAGCAATTTTCTTTTCCAGCTCTCATTCCTCCTGCCCTCAGCCCCGTGACATCCACAGAGAGGAGTCACCTCCTGCCTTTTCATCCCACTGCCTCTCTAACCCATTCCCAAAAATGTAAGGGAAGCAGCAAAGTTCCTGACTTGGTTGTGTGGGGTTTATTTTTTCAATCCCCAGCCTTGGTGAGCTCAGGACAACCCCTCCTGTGCACTGCCCAGGAACTCCTCAGGTTAAAGCAGGAATTCTGTGGGAGTGCAGGAGCTCCAGGGTGGCATCCAGGGAAGGATCACTTCCTTACACCCAGGGAATGTAGGGAAAAGCCCAGTGGGGATTACTTAAGGCCCTGAAAACCCAGCAGTGCATAAAACAGCCCCAGCACTCACCTGGCCAGCGCTCCATGAAGCATCATAAAGAACATGGAAGTGTTTGATGCACCTCTGAGACCTGCAGGGCTGCTGGCTCCCCAGTGCCTGCTCTTCCCAGCCCTTTTGGGCCTGCAGCATCCCAGCCATCGACTCCAACCACCCAAAAAACAGGCAGGAAAAAGGCTCATACCTCCTTTTCATTTTATTTGTCTCCCAGACAGCGTGCAGCACATTCCCAAAGCAGCAGCAAGCATTTTTTTCCTCTTGGCTTCACTCCACCAGGCAGGCCCAGCAAAGCCTGGGGCTGAAACCAGCCTTTTATAGAGGGGGGATCAGCTCACAGGTGCTGCTGCTCAGCTCCCACCAGGGCTTCCAGCAGCTGCCTGCAACCGGGAATCCACCTCCCCCTGCTGCAGTAGGTGCCCAAAAAAATGTCCCTTGGCACCTCGGGGCCGTGCTCCTTGCCTGGGCACGGGGATGAGCCTTCCACGGGCACCTGGCATGGCCTGGGCACGGGGATGAGCCTTCCACGGGCACCCGGCATGGCCTGGGCACGGGGATGAGCCTTCCACGGGCACCTGGCATGGCCTGGGCACCAGCACCTCCCGAGGGACAGGCACCGGCCCCAAATGCAGCTGGAAGCACCGCGGGGCTGCAGGAGCCCCTGCCGATCCCTGGGCTGCCTCTGCTGTCACCGTGGCGCGGCTGGAGCTGAAAAAGAAGGGTTTCAGTCAGGGCAGGGCTGTTCACAGCCCCAGAGCCCCCTCAGCCCGGGTTCCTGCCAGCTCCAGCTCCCAGGCATCCACCGGGATGAGCCCGGCCAGGAGCAGAGGGCTGCACCCCGGTGCAAAGCAGTTTGCCTCGCACGCTCACCGGCTGCAGGGGATGCCGTCTGTGGCCGAGCCGAGCCGAGCCAGGCTGGACGGTCTGTCCTGCTCGGGCAGAGCAACCCGTGCCGTGCCGTGCCGGGAGAACCGAGCCCGGGGCGGGAGGGTCAGCGGCCCTCCCGGGAGACTCCAGCTCCAGCCGCTGGCAATCTCGGGGGGCTACAGAGCCCCGGGAGCGGTCACCGTGCCCCGGCTGGAGCGGGAGCCGGGCCCGTGCCGGGAATTGGGAGCTGCCGCGGCTCCACCGCCTCCCGCGGTACCGCGGGGTGACACCGGGGACACCCGGCCCCATCGCGGGGTGCCGATGCTGTCCCCGCAGAGGGTCAGCGCCTAAACCCCCTGCCAGGGACACGGGGGACCCCGGCGTGTCCCGCACCGAGCGGGGAGCAAACCATCCCCGTGCCGGGCGGGCACGGTCCGGAGCGCAGCTCCGGGCACCGGAGCCCGCAGCGCGGGGCCACGGGAGCCAGCGGCCCGGGCTCGCCCCGTTCTGCCCCGGTTCTCACCTGTTTTCCACCCGTTTTGCCCGGTTTCCCTCAGCCGGTCCCTCCCCTCTCCCGCCGGGGTGGGGAACGGGCAGGGCGCCGAGCTGGGCTCGGTCCCTGCGGGGAGGCTCGGGGGCAACGGGAGCAGCTCCAGCAGAGCTGCCCGGAACGGGACCCGAGCCCGGCAGAGCCCTTGGACCTGGACCGAGACCGGGATGGGCATCGGGACCGCCCCTCCAGGGCAGTGTCCCCGTCTGGCGGCCGCGCAGCCCCCGCCCCAAGGACACCGGCGACACGGGGACACCTTTCCGTCACCCCTTTATTGAAGCCGCTGCCCGCTTTAGCCCGTGGAGCCAGCCGCTGCTGCCGTCCGGGACCCGCCCGCAGGTACCGGGAGCTCCTGCGGGGAGAGCGGAGCCCGTGGGCCTCGCAGCCAGCCCCGTGCGGGGCTCCGGGGGCACCGGCCCGGTCGCGCCCCCGCTGCCCCGCACCTTCACGCGATGCCCGTTTCCCGCACGTCTTCACTTCTGGAAGGTCCGTCCGTGTTCAGCGTTTCCATCTCTTCTGCCTTCCTCTTCCTACGCTGCCTCCGACAGTGGCTTGACAGGGAGGGAAAATCGTAAACAAACAAACAAAATTTAAAAAAAAAGAGGCAGAAGGGGACATGGCAGTGATGCTCCTCCCTCTCCCTCGGCTTTTACCCTGCAGAAGATCCACAGAAGGGGATCACACCTGCTTTCCAAAGGAATGTCCCAGGCACCTCCCAACACCTGCAGGACCACGTCCCACCAGCCTGGGGCAGCCCCAGCTCCACCTGCCCGGAGCCAGGGCAGCCGGGCGGGATTTGCTCCCTCTTCCCTTTCCCTTTCCCTTCCCTTCCCGCGCCGTTCCCCCACGTACTGGCTGCAGAGGCAGATGCCGACGACGAGGATGATGAGGGCGGCGATGGCGACGATCAGGGAGATGATGACGATCTGGCCCTGGTCCCCTCGCAGGTAGAACAGATCCACCCTCTCGCAGCGAGCCCCGGTGTAGCCCCGCTCGCACCTGCCCCGCGGCACACGGGAGGCACGGCGCGGTCCCCAAGGCTGCCGCGCTGCCCATGCCCCCCTCGCTGCCCTCCCGGCGGGCGCCGTGTCGCCGTGTCCCCACGGCGGGTGACTTACACACAAGCCGGCGCCTGCTCGGCCACGAGGAAGCGGCACCTGCCCTTGACGCAGTAGTGCTGGAACTCCTCCGGGCAGCGGGAGAAGTGGCTCTGCCGCCGCGGCTGCGTGCCGTTCCCTGCGGTGACACGCACGGGGGACAGCCCCAGGGGGGTGACAGCTCTGCCCGGAGGCAGCGGCACCCCCGAGCCCGCCCGGCTCGGCACGGGTGTCCTCGGCTCAGGGGACAAAAACCCCGCTCCTCCGCGCTCCCGGCCCGCCGCCCCGCTCCCTGCCGCGGCCTCCGGGGCCCGCAGCCCCCCGGCAGCCCCCCTCACCTGTGCACGCCCTGGCCGTGCCGCAGCTGAGCCCCTCGGTGCCCGCCGTGGTGTTGGTGTCGGCGCCCACGCAGCTGAAGAGTGCCAAGCCTGGAGGGCGGCGGAGGCAGCTCAGAGGGGAGCCCCAGAGCCCCCCGAAGCCACAGGGGGGGCGCTGGCAGCGGGCTCTGCAGCTGCGGCCGCGGCCCCCCTGCCAAAGCTGGCAGCATCAGCTTTTCCCCGGGGCCGGGAGAAGGGAAAGCCGGCCCCGCCTGCTGCCTCCACCCGGCAACGCCCGGCACGGAGGTCCGGGAGCCAGCCTGGGGGGGTTTGGACCACACAGCCCGGGCAGCTGCTGCTGTGCCCGGGGAGGATGCGGGGAGGGATCCCCAGAGAGATCCGGACTGATGGAATCACTGATTGGACGGTAAAGTTCATCCAGCCCTGCTGCCGCGGGCAGGGACACCTCCCACTGTCTCAGGTTGCTCCGAGCCCCGTCCAACCTGGCCTTGGACACTGCCAGGGATGGGGCAGCCGCAGCTTCCCTGGGCAACCCGTGCCAGAGCCTCCCCACCCTCCCAGGGAAGAATTCCTTCCCAGTATCTAATCTAAACCTGCCCTTTGTCAGCGCGGAGCCCTTCCCCTTTGTCCCGTCGCTCCGTGCCCTTGCCACAGGTCCCTCTGCAGCTCCCTCGGCGCCCCTTCAGGCCCCGCACGGCCCTCGGCGCTGTCCCCGCAGCCCGCAGAGCCCGGGCCCGGGCAGAGGGGCCGGTGCCCCGGGCCGGGAGCGGGAGGCGGCTCCCGGCGCGGCGGTAACCGGATCGCCGGCGTGCCAGCCTGACTCAGCGCGGCCCTCCCCGGGGATTCACCCGCCCGGGCGGCTCCCGGGAGCGGGGACAGGTCCTGCCTGCCGGGCGGCTCCGCGGAGGTGTCCCGCCGAGGCGGGGCCGCTGCCGTCCCGCGGGGGGACACCCGGAGCCTTGGCAGGGAGCGGAGAGCTGGCGCAGCCAAGCCTCGTCTCCCGCTCCCCGTTTCCTCCTCCGGCGCCTTGGAAACAGCGGCGGGAGCTGCCCGGCCGAGCCTGCGGGTCCCGCAGCGGGGACATTCCCGGCGCACACGTCCCTCCTGGCTATATATAGCCAGCTCCGCGCTGGGGAGTGACGGCGGCGCGGAGAGCCCGGCGGGGAGGGAAGCGAGCCCACCGCCCCACCCGCAGGGTGGGAGCTGCCTGGCGGCAGCCAGGGATGAGCCACGGGGCGGCTGCACCCCGGCATCCAGCTGTGGGCACAGGCGGGACACGCAGGCAGGGAGGCTGACTTCACCGGCCGTGACCGAGCTCACAGCTCGACATGGAAAGATCCCCACCAAGCTGAGCTCCCCGCCCTTATTGCAAGCAGATGCGGAGTTCTGGCACCCTCCGGGCTGGCAGCCCCTCGGCAGGACCGCCCTGGCGGCAGCGCCAGCCCCGGAGGCTGCAGGTGCGAACACCCTCAGCTCCCTGACGCGCTGGCTCCACTATCTGGGGCTGCAGCCTCTGCTGAGCAGCCGGAGATAACCCGGGGAAGCATCCCAAACAGCGGGCTGTGCTGCCGCTCACACCCCCGCGCTCCCCCGGGAAAGCCCAAACCGCGGGGGAGCAATCGCCCGGGAGGTGGCCGCGCTCGGAGGGGACACGCCAGCCCCAAAACAGGTCGGCTACCCTCGGTTTCCTCCTGCCAGCACAGGTTTGGCAGGTTTTGCCAAGTGCTGTCACCAGCCCGGCCAAAGAGCCAAACCCAAGCTGCTCCCTGCGGAGAGAAAAGCTCCCCCGAAATCCCAGTGCAGGGGAGGGATCTCTGCCAGGGAGGGTCTCAGCCCCCCAGCCTGAGGCTGTTTCCTGGCAGCCATCAGCAGACACCTGTCTGCAGCTGCCTGCTTCCCAAAAACTTGGGAACTAACATGGGAATGAACGCTCACACGCTTGTTGGAGAGGTGCTGGCCCCCCTGCCCCGGCATCCCACACTCCTCAGGCACCCCTCAGCAGTGTCCCTCCAACAGGTGGCAAAAACATCCCGATCCTGCCCCAGGATGCAGCCCTGGCCCCCATGCTCCCCCGAGGCAGGGGAGCACTGGGTTGGAGCGGTGGGGAGTTCCAGGATGGGATCTGGGGGCACAGGGGGAGCCCAGGGAGGGGGCTGGGCAAACAGCAGGCTGGGACAGAGGAAGGGCTGGGATGGATGGGATTGTCCAGGGGGACACAGGGAGCCACCGGCGTGGGACGGGGCCAGCACCTGGATGGGGGGGTGAGAGGGGGGAACACAAGGGTGCAGCAGAATAGGACCCGCGGAGCACCGGGATGGGATGGGATGGGATGGGGGAGCACCGGGATGGCACCGGGAGGCAGGTGCAGGATCATCAGCCTGGGAACGGGAACAGCGGGACCAGAGCGAGGACGGAGCCGGGACAGGGCACGGTGACACGGGGCTGGGACAGCGGCGGTGACAACAGAGCAGGGGCGGGAAGCGAGGAGGAACACCCCGCGGGCCGCCGGCTGTCCCGGGGCCGGGCAGGTGGCGGGGCAGGGGGACGCCCGTGCTTACCGGAGGCCAGGGCCAGGCAGAGCAGCAGGGTGCCGGGGCCGCCGCCCGGGGCCGGGGCCGCCGCCGCCTCCATGCGCGCCGCCTGCCCGGTGCCCGGTGCCCGGCGGCTGCGGAGGGCGGGACGGGGGCGGCCGCACGGGCACCGCCGCCCTCCTCCTCCTCCTCCTGCTCCTCCTCCTCGTCCAGCTGCGCGGCTCCCACCCCGCCGCGGCCATCCCCTGGCGGTGCCGGTGTCCCCTCCCGGCTGTCCCCTCCCGGCTGTCCCACCCCTCGTCCTGCCGGGAGGCGGCAAGCAGGTGCCTGGCCCCGCATCCCTGGGGATGTGGGCAACCGGAGGGATCCCCCATCCCGCCGTCACGCCCTCCGGGCAGGGTCCCCTCTCCAGAGGGACAGAGGGTGCGCGCCCCAGGCGAGGTAGATTAATTCCCAGCCAGCGGGAAGGAAGCCGGGAATTCCTACCTCTCACTTGGGAGGAAACACCCTGCCAAGGGCCCTGGCGGGCTGCGACGGCAGCCCCGAATTATCCTGCAGGGGGCTGTGCCTCCCCAAATACACCTCGCGGGGTGATTTTTCCCTCGGGGGGTGCCGGGAGGGTATTCCCGGTCCCCTGGGTGACCCCGTGAGGAACTGGAGAGACACCCCGGGCTGAAGGTGTCCCCTCCGGGGCTGCTCCGGCACGGCTGGCGCTGCCCCGGCTCCCAGCAGGGCTCGGGGGGCTCTGCCGGCCGGGAGGGGCGCGGAGCCAGGGGAGGTGGAAATGAAAGACTGGAAAGAACGGGTGACCTCAAACCGCGAGCTGGCAGCTATTAATGCGAGTGCTGGCAGCCACCCAGCCATGCCATTTGGCCGCTGGCCAGGGGGTGAGCAAGCTCCCTTAGCCCTGGCCAGCCAAAAATTCCTGCTGCAAGCTCCGGCACAGCGGTACCGCCGGCCCCTGGGCTCACGGCCCCCCCGCTCCCTGCCGGCGGCCCCCCAAACAGGCAAGGAGTCATAAACCACGAGGATGGAGCAAAAGCTCTGCTGGGGGCTCGGGCAAGGCCAGCAAAACTGGCAGCTGGCCCCAGGATGTGACACAGGGACACCCGAGGAGTTCTGGCATCATCCCGGTAGGGTGGGCAAAGGCAGGGGGCAGACAAAAAAAAAAAAAAGAAAAAGAAAAATTTCCCTCCGGCATCCTTCACATCTGGATAAAACTGGTGGGGAAAGGCATTTTAAAAAGATGATTCAAAAAGAGCTGGAGCCTCGGGGCAGATGTCACCAGAGGCAATGGTTTCCAGCCTCCAGCGGCAGTGGGAAAGCGCTGGCCAAAGTTATCCCCAAAAAAGGATCTCCCTGGCCGTGTCCCTGCCGGGCTGGGAGGAGGTGACCAGCAGGTGGCAGCGGGAGCCCGGGGCTGGTGGCCCTCGGGGCGCTCCGGGCCCGCCGCAGCCCAGCCCCCGGCACCCGAACCGCGGGGAGAGCGGCGTGCCCAGCCCCGTCCCGACCCCCCAAAACTCCTGCCCTTGCGAGCATCCATCAGCACCAACAGCAGGGATGTGGGCACCAAGCCCAGGGCGCCGCGCTGCTCCCACGGCAGCGGCAGCAGCAGCGCTGTTTTCCCTCCTCCCGGGCACAGGGAAGGTCTCAAGGAGAGCGGGGGTGCTGGTAGCGCCCGGCTGCCCGAGGAATGCCAGCTGACTTGGATTTTGTGCCCTGCTGGTCCAGGCCCAGAGCCAGGATCCATCCCGGGAAAATGCCACACAATGCAACAGAGCTGAGGGCTGAGCAAGGCCGGGTAAAGATAGCTCAGCCACAGCCCGGGCTCCCGAAATCCTTTTCCATTGTGAGCACGCAAAAGGCTGGGGAGGATGAGCTCAGCCCGAAAATATTTCACCCGCAGCACTGCTCTTCCCAGAAGGAAAGGGGTAAAACCATGGTCCGTGTACCTCCTGCTGTGCCACAGGTGTCTGTCTCCCGGCTGGCTCCTCTGGGCACTGGGAGCTGCGTTTTGGGAGCTGTTTGTGCCGGGGGAAGGCAGGACCCTGAGTGCCTGGCACCAGATCCCTCTGTGCAGCAGGCAAGGCGATCCCCAGGGAGGCCCGGAATCAGGGATCACAAAACTGCTCGGACTGGCAAGGACCTTAAAGCCCTTCCCGTCCCAGCCCTGCTGCCAGGGGCAGGGACACCTTCCACGGACCCTTCCAGGGATGGGCACCCGCGGCTCCTCTGCCGGGGCAGGAGCGGGGAGCGGGGAGGGGACCGGCGCCGATGTGACAGAGCACCCAGGCGGTGGCAGCGGAGCCCCGGCAGCCCCGGCGGTGCCGGTGCCGGCAGGTGCCGCTGTGGGCGGGCGCGGCGGGGGCGG